AGCCAGTCCATGTACGTCCCGAGGTGAGCTGAAGAGGTCTGGTGGTTACGTCTTGCATGTCTGTCAATCCCACGATCACACTGACACCCCAGCCTTTCACACAGGACTCCAAAGCACTGCGCTAGATGGAGAAATGGTAACAAGTCAGCAGAAGGATAGAAGTCACTGAAAAGACTAAACTGACTCAAGGTCTTTTGGGTTTTAAAAACAAAAAGGAAATTGTTTCACTTAATTCCCTCTATTGAGAATCTAAATTTCATAAAATTCCCCTACCATGCATTCCACATCACCAACACATTCCAGGGAGTAGTCCACACCTCCACCAGTCATCTCCATTAGCACTTGACTAATGGGTTTATTGTGATCCTTGGGATTGACGAAGTCAGTAGCTCCAAACTCCCTGGCTTTCTCAAACTTGTCTGGGTTGATGTCAACAACAATAATCCTTTTGGCTCCTGCAGCCTCACAGCCCATGACTGCAGCCAAACCCACAGCTCCCAGACCAAACACAGCACAGGTGGAGCCTGGCTCAACCTGCAGGAGATGATTTCAGTAAATGGGATTCATCTTGGATGAGTGTTTACAGGTCGTTACTAAAACAAAAAAACCGTTCAGTTCTAGCAGCATACACACCTTAGCAGTATTAACAGCTGCCCCATACCCAGTGCAGACCCCACACCCAAGGAGGCAGACTTTATCCAGAGGAGCAGCAGGATCAATCTTAGCCACAGCCATCTGATGAGTCACAGTGTACTCAGAGAAGGTGCTGATTCCCATAAACTGCCGCAGCTTCTGCCCATTACAGGTTAACCTGGACTTTTCCAGTGCCATTTCTTTTGAACCCATTCTAGTCCTGAACAAGATAGAGGGAAAACATGAACCTCACGAGTACGCATCAGCACATGGTGGCGATGAGAGGTGAGAATAAAGCAACATTGTACTCACCAAATTACGTCACACTGGTTTGTCTTAGGGCTCTTACAGAAGCGACATTCTCCACACTGAGGAAGGTAGAGAGGAATCACCTTGTCTCCTGAAGAAAAATAAATGGTCACACGTTCTGCTTTGGCGTATTGACCGAGTGCCCGCTGATGGACCACATTTACTTGCATTGAGAATTTAAAAATTTGAACACCACAATTTACAATTAAAACCACCCTTTGGACAAAGGCAATCAAGTCGCTTCCTAAAACCAACCTGAACACCATGGGAACAGCTGTGGCTGATGTCAGGGTCAATCTTTTGTTCACGGAGAGAAGTTTAATTTGTTCAAAGTTAAAAACTGACCTGGCTGAAATTC